CTTCAAATGGTGTTGTGTTTTGTATTGTACTGTTCATGAATGTTGTATAAATCAAATGATACTTGATTAGCGTTTGGAAATAATACGAAAGTCATGATACAAGTAATCATTACTGGTATAGTCCATGAAAAACGCAAATTATGTTGAAATACATCAAATGATACTTGATTAGCGTTTGGAAATAATAAGAAAGTCATCATACAAGTAATCATTATTGTTATTAGTCCATGAAAAACGCAAATTATGTTGAAATATTTGGTAAAATTAGGTGATAAATTAGCGTATAAATTATAAATGATTTTTCAGCTTATAACTTATAATTTATGACCAAGAAAAATGCTACAGGTCCCGTTACGGAACCATTCCGTTGGAATTTATAACCATGTATATGTAGATAGTGTAGCATATGGGCTAAAAATCCCAATAGAATGGTTCCGTAACGGGACTGTAGCCTTACCCTATGACTTATAACTGGAAAACTAGCTTATATGATAAAAGTGTTTGGTAAAATTAGCTGATAAGCTAGCTAAAATAAAAATTTCAACTAGCTTATTTGAAAAGCTTATAAGCTAACCAATGGTAGACAAATAAGCTAGCTTATAAGCTAATTTTATTTCAGCTAGCTTATCAGCTAGTTTTACCAAATACTTTTATCATGTAAGCTAGTTTTCCAGCTATAATTCATAATCTATAAGCTATAAGCTCGAAAATTACATATAAGCTATAAGCTAGCTTATCAGCTAGTTTTATCAAATATAGCCTAATGTTAACTCGGTCTATAATATGCTAGTGCACAGCCCGTGTGATTCACGGTGTGGACAATTGTAAGGCTATTTACCTAGTCTTGTTGTTATATTCGTGAATAATGAAAATTAAATAATTAGAATAAAAAATGAAATTATATATTATTAAAAGTTTTTGTAGACAACATTTTTTGCCTTGTATGCACACTATCCTCATTGCAAACTTATATTTTCAATCTATTTCTATTAGTGACACAGGAAACAGATACATACAACTGGTCATGACTAAACACCGATTTCTTAAAAAGCATGCTAACATGTGATAAACACTGACCATGACTCTTATTAATCAAATCCCGAATCTCGTGAACAACATGACCAACAATTAGCTTGGTAACATTCTTTGAAGTAGCTAATTAGTTAGTAACTGAATATTGACACATATTTAAATATACACGTGTTTGAAAATATAAAAATATATATTATTAATAGAATTATAATATAAGGTAACAAATTAAAATTTAATATTATGTTAAATTATAAATGTATTTGTTAAACGTTAAAATATATATTTTAAATATATTTATATTATAATTAAAAAAAACATATATATATTATAAACTAATTTAACGAAAATACCTCCACATGATTTTGTTTAGCAAAGATGAACAATGAGAAAATGTGGATGACGATCATTTTCATATTTATTTTCAATTTCCACAAGTCGATCAACGAAATCACCCCATAGTATGCACTCAATCTTGTTCCTCTTAACATTCATTTAAATAAATTAATAAAATAATTTTTTGTTATGGTTGTTAAGCTCGGGCAGTACGAATGGACAATATGGGCAGCCCATGCAGGCAGCTAGGGCAACAAGGTATCATTGCCCTATATAAGGGAGTGAGGTATGCCCTAAATTATATTACACTCTTTACATACTCTATATATTGCATTTCATCTTCTACAAGAGTTAACTTAAGCTTCGTAAGCTCTTCACCAGAAAATTCCTCCGGTGTGAGAGTTCTGCAGGTCCAAATGCATTCAGCTGACGGAGGAGCTCGCAATCTAGCCGTTTCTGGTCGGTCGGAGGTCTTTTATGTACCACTGTCCATCTAGTCGATCCATCGACCAGTCATACCTTAAGGTCGAGTTTTAACTAGGCCATCTGAGGGCCCTAGCGCGACCTGTTGGTGCTCATTTGGACTTGGCATATCTTCATTGACTTGAGGATTCTTAGCTCAGCTCCAATCGACCTCCGTTTGGCCTGTTGTAGTTCCGCTCGACCGAGCGGTTTGTCCGGTCTGGTTGGCTAGTTTATCGATTCTATTCGACCCGGTATGGTATCTCATAACACATATAGAGATTGTAACCGCAACATAGTTTGATCGAAATAAATAAAGTTGTACATAAATTCTATGTTATTCATAAAATTCATTGTTACAAACTTGGCACACCCAGTGGGACTTTATCTACCTCTCATCTCTTCTCTAAATTAAGTTTGAAGGATTTTGAAAATGCATGACGATCTCTTTAAAGAAAATATGAAGGGGGGAAACTGAAGATAATGTCTCCTTAAGCCACAAATCATCCGAAGATCGTTCACTTTATCAAATTCATCCAAATGGGGGCAAACAAAAATGGCTCTACATGTCATTCTAGAAGCAAATTCCATGGGGTAATTTAACTGAAGCGCTATAAAATCATCAATGCTCTTTGATAAGAGCCTCAACTATCAATAATGCTTCTCGATATGATCAAAAACTATCCAAACCTCCAATCAACATGCTCTTTAGTATAAACCTAAGCTATATATAAGCACCTCGATATGTGCAAGAACTATCCAAAAAATCAAAGGGTACCATGTAGAGATTGGACCCGTAATATCATTTGTTCGAAATAAAATCAAGTTATACAAAAGTTTTGTGTTTTTCACAAAGTTTATAGTTACAAAATTGTGATAATAAATTTGATTTATGAAAATAAATCTTATAAAAAACATAAAATTTTTGTACAACTTGATTATATTTCCATAAAAGTGAAAGGTTCAGACAAGAATTCCTAGGCAACGGCGACCTGGTTTGGCGACAAGAAAACACACTCAATCATGTGGGGATCAAACGATATTGTGGATACAATCTCTTTATGGAACCCTCTGATTTTTCTCATTGTGGACTTGGATTCATTTTGAAAATTGGATTTGAGACTTGGATCTCTTACGGGCTTAATCTTGAATTTTTTTAACATTAATTCGGGGGTCGAATGGCTTATTTCCATATTAAATGTTACGACTTGATTTGATTGAAGATGTTTTCTTGACAGTCTTTCTTCTTTTATCATTCTTGAAAACATATTTGAACTTGAATAACGTTAATTTGAGGGTTTGAAAGATTTTTCTCGTATCAAATGTTTATGTTGCTTGAGCTCCACAACGAACACAGGTTTAATGTTGTTGATCATCTTGGCTTTAACTTGAGAGAAGTTGATGGTGTCTCTATTTCTTGTAGAAGAACAACAATTCATTTTTCTTCTTCTTAGCCTGTTTCTCCATTGAAGGTGCCCTGAAGGTGCTTCGAAGGCTCGGATAGTTGGTTTTGGATTGAACGTTGATCTTCAACTTGAACGCTCTTGGATTTTCAAGAACACATTCAGATCTTCAAGAACGTCTTTGGATCTTCATGAAATTCTTGAGAGTTCTTGAATTTGAGCCTTTAATTTATGAGGTGTGATTTTTGGCTTTTAGAATAGCCTTATTTGAAGGTACATGATATAAATTTTTGGAGAAGAAAACATCAATTTGGTCCTTTATTATTGGATATAATCCATTTCCGTATCCTAAAATTATTTCCTTATCTTAATATTTAACTTGGTGGACAAATAATATTACTTTATAATTTTATATCTTATACATCTTGAATTTATGCACAAAAATAAATAAAAACACAAATTAATAAAATATTAAATTTTCTATATTTACCGTTGTTTTATTTATAATTTTATTCAATGATAATGTATACTCTCTTTCTAAATAAGTTGGAACCTAAGTTTAATTTCTAGTTTTTCCATTGAATAGTTTTTAAAATAAAACTACATAGAAATGACATCCTTTTATTATTATTATTATTATTATTATTATTATTATTATTATTATTATTATTATATTTGATTTATTGAAAAAGTGAGACTGTGTAACATTTACACATGCCTAATAACAGTTGCAATGAAAACAAAAGTCCATTACAAAATGTAAGTCAAGAATGAAAGTAGAAATTAAAGAAGGAATTATGGGTAAAATTCACATGGGAATGTATTGGGGCACACATCAAGAGAATGAATCTTGTGCTATTTCACCACCCATTTAGCACACCAAATTATAATGTATTTTTTTTTATATTTTTTTTTTCACTACTAAATATGTCCCTTATTTTTTTTCTCGTGATTTCTAAATTATGATAATATATGTCTTGCAACATCACAATTTCGCATACGTAATTGCGTTCATCACCCAACTTGTGTAAAAAGTCCAATGTCCAGTGTTGTTGCTCAACGCTTTCATCGCCTCAAACTTTTCTTATCATGAGAACTAAAGAGCATACATTTTCACCACTACTAAAGTAGGTCCTTTGAACAAAAAATAAATAAAAATAGCATGATTTTCCCATGTGCCCTCCTATAAGAATATATTTTCAATATTGCACAATGATTTTGGTGTTGAATGTGGTGGCTTGGGAATATTGGAAAATCTATTTTGAGATTTTGATACAATTATTTTGAAAAAGAGAAGTGTGCACATATCTTCCCACATACTCTTGTATTTTTCTTCGCAAACATGATGGGCCCTTTAATGATCAGCCAATACTCAATACTATAAAGTTTAATTTGTAGATCAATCAAATATCACAATTAAAGATTTATGTCTAATTAGACTAAGCTTCAATTGTCAAAATTAATATCGCATCAGAATACTGTGCTGGAAAAGTTGTTTAATGTGGAAATCAAAAGCAATAATTTCAGTGCCTAGTTAGTAGTTAAAACTGAATTTGGGGCAGACCACATGACATGTCTCTAACACCATGTTTGGTTTAATTTGTCGGGAAACTGGGCCTGATGT